GTAGTGGTAGTAGTGGTTGTAGTAGTTGTTGTTGTAGAGTTGTAGTAGTTCGTCGCAGTGGTCGTGGTTGGTGCAGTGGTGGCTGTAGCAGCAGTGGTAGCAGCATTGTGGTCGTCGTCGTCGTGGTGGTGGATGGTAAACAGCCAGAAGCCTGCGCACCTGCTTGTTGCCGCACTTGCCACACTTGCTCTGGAAGATGTTCTCTATCTAGTCCACCTTGCCTTGCTTGCCCGGGTCGCGGCTGGAGACATGAATCGAAACGTGCCGCTTGACCCACTTGCCCCGCCTATTTCCCCTCCGCTCTCAATTTACCCATCCCTCTCCGCCTGCCCCTCCCCATTCCCGTTCGCTTCCTGACGCGAGCGCAAACCTGCGAAAGTCTGGATCACACTGTGTACACCCTGAGACGGAGAGCTGGAAAATTGGTCTGGGCCAAGCAGCAGCAAGCTCAGCTCGCTTCGCCAGGCAAGTAGGAGGAGGGCAGCATGGTTGCTGCAGGGCTGTGCGCATGTATGCATGCTGCATGTCTGCATATATTTACGCCTGCATGGCTGGCTGGCTGGCTGGCTGGACGGACGATTTCTGAAAGTATGTCTGTATGACAGTATGCATGTATGCCAAAAGATAGGTAGGTCGGTCGGTGGGTAGGTCGGTAGGTGGGTAGGTAGGTAAGTAGGTAGTCAGGCAGGCAAGCAGGCAGGTAGGTAGGTAGGTAGGTAGGGAGATGCATATGTGTGTGTGTGTGTGTGTTTGAATGCTTCAATTTGCATCGTCTGTGTGTCCAGGTTTTTGTATGTCTAAGTGGCGTTGCACGTACGTAAGTATATGCTCTTGGGACAAGATCCGGGCTCCTTTGGGCCTCCGAGCCTGCCATCCTCACAACATGTGCGCTCCGGAGAAGACTATGCCCCGAAGGAACTGGGCTCCTTGGCTTCAGAGGGATAACGAGGGTATCGCTTAGAAAGGACAGTGACTGTACTGGAAGGAAGAGCTATGTTATAAAATTCTCAATGCAATCATATGCAGCGCAATCACGACCAAGTCCGTCAGCAGGACCATCCACAGATACTGCTGCCTTTCTGAATTGACCACAACTGGCCGCGACTTTGTGGCTCACTCCTGCACACCTGCGGAAGCCCGAAACCGCCGAAACCTCGAAGAGATTCTCAAGTCTGAAGCCCCGCTGAGTCGAACATGATCTCCCAGGCATGCTGCGCCAGAAGAAGAATCACAGTCAGTCTGGCTGAGGATATGGTTGGTTCAGAAGTGTAGGGTTGAGGGTGGTTTGAGGGCCTGCAGCTGTTCGATTGGGTTTCTGGCCGCTGTGGGGATCTTGTCTTCAAGAGGGCGTTGCGATGCGAACAACTTTCAGGAGGCCGCGCAACGGCACAGGAGAGGTTGGTAGGTGCATTGTAGTGCCGTCTTCACGGCTTCATCCGATGTTGGAGTACAGGACATCATCTTTGGTTTGTTGGTGTATTGTTGACCAGGATGATCATGCAGCTTTACTTCCTTCTCTGAGAGAGAGAGGGAGAGAGACAGAGAGAGAGAGAGAGATAGAGACACACACAGCACATGTGTTCATGCAAGCCCTACTTCCTCCATTTTAATCTATTGGCGTACAGTCATGTTGCTGAGCTTTTTTGTGTTCCTGTGTAAGTCCATGTCAAGCACATGCCTGAGTACTTTTGGCGACACGTGTGTGGGAGAGCAGGCTCGATGTCGGACGTAAGCCTGGGGGTGTTCGACCATGTTTTCTTCCAGCAGGACACGTGAAGTTTTCTGTCGGACCACACAACTGTGCCTGCAGGACTCAGGCAGAGGCCTCCCTCCAAATCGGCGCCACGACGAAGCGCAAAAAACGCAGGTGCTCGGCTGTGATGCGTCATGTTTCGATATGTGCCGAGATGCTGCTGCTTTATGCCAGCCACCAGAGGCTCTGACTCGTCCGTAAAGACCTGCACATTTTCGGGCGATTTTTCGCTGAATTCGGGTTCAGCCTGGTCTTGAGGCGCAGTTGAAAATTATCACCATCGGAAGTATCCGCTAGGTTTGTGCCCGGCGCGCTGTTCGACAGAAGTCGTTTACAGTCGTCCATGCGGACAACATCACAATTACCATCACCCCAGCAGCAACAGGATCCGCATGTTCACATCATCAACCACGATATCAGCATCATCAGCACAATCAGACGCTGTATCCCCATGCTCATCATCGCGAGCATCAGCAGCACCACAGCCCACCGACCCAGTCCAATCCACTACCACCCACCACCCGCCACCCGCCACCACACCACCCACCACCCATCACCCATGCAAACCCACCACCCACCACCCACCACCACCACCACCACCACCACCCACCACCACCACCACCACCACCACCACCACCAGCACCACCACCACCACAACCGCCACCACCATCGCCACCATCGCCAGCACCACAGCCGCCATCGCTGTCGGAACGACCATACATGCTCAACAAATGAGAGCTCAGCAGGACCCATGTGACAGAGCGGCTGCCTCCAGCTCCGACTCAGCAAGGGTGCCTTGGCGAATTAGCGGCTAGAGGAGCGTGGGTTTGTAGCACTCCGCCGTCGGCAAGTTCCACAACTAATTAAGCACCGAGTAGATCCCACCGGAGTTTTCGCTGCTGGTGATTGAAGCCGCAAGCAAGCCCTTGCAGTGGTCGTCCGTCCTTCAAGGCGGCTGCGCCCGACTGCGAGGATGCCCAATCTGAGGCACCTCTGCTCAGTGGTGTTTGGGGTCAAAGCATGTAGGGTTTCTCTGCCGGTATGTTTATTATTGGCGGAAAGAGCCTGGAATTCATGCGCACTGCTTGCAAGTGGTTGTAAACGTGTAGTTGCTAGTCCACCCTGGCGCCTCCAAGCCAAGTTCGAACAAATGGGTATGTCGTAGAATCGGTCACGAGCCTCAACTTCCAAACTGCAAAGAAGTCCCTGCAGGTCCAGCTTCATTGCAAGATGGGAAACACTAGCAAATGTGCCTGGTGACCGTACATCAAAGGCAGATTCGACGCCCTGGTCGCTGGAGGCGCATGGCAATGTCGCATGCTGCGAGCAGAGTATCCATCACTCGTCAAGGGCTCCTGAGGCATCAAAAAACTGTAAAGTTCCAAGGCTGATCCCTGGCCCGCTGCGGTAATTCGTGGCTTACGATCCGGGGTGATATCTGGACATGTGGGATGTCTGCACGCATGTCCGCAAAAGCTACAGGCTAGAGCCACCGACACCGACTATAGATGTGCTGCTATCTGCGCTCTCGCACCCTCTGCCTTCACAAGAACTACAAGCGCTACTGTTGAGACTGCCTGGCGTAACTTGAAAGTACGTTGGCTGCGTCATGCGTGTTTTTGTTATGTCTCGCTCTTCTGTCTTACAGGTGTCGGGCTTCCATGTCGGCATGGCTTGAGGTAGACTCCTTACTGTGTTCTGGATGGCTTCACGACATCCTTGCAGAAGTGGGCTTTTTGTCTGGAGCTTGGGATGGTGGGTTTCACGTTCCAGGGCTTAAAATGTACTAGAAGTTTCCACAAAAGGATTGAACAAACACACTTAAATCGAGTCGCTAGGTGGCCGCTGCCCTCTGCCCTCTTATCATTGGGGTTTTGCATGGTGTTGCCGTTAAGCTGTTACGGTGTAGGTAACTGCAAAGGCCCCATGCCTGCCCATCTGATCCGGAAGGGAAGCCACGTGAGCGTCAACAGCAGCTACCGGAACGGCAGCCTCACTTCGTCGTACTGCGTCGCTTGCTGTGAATGAAGATCTGTCAAGTAGGTCTGGTTGCTTCAACAACACTCTTCCAATCCACGCGAATTGAAGCCTAAGCCGAACGACCCTTCCTACCGAATTAATTGGGGTGGGCGCTCCTGGCTGAGACTCCATCAGAAAAGTCTTGAAAGTTACATCAGCAAGGGGGGATGTAGCTTCTGTTCGGTCCAGCCTCGGCCTCGCAAAGCTGCCAGCCGTCTTAAAACACGTTGCACACATCTTTAAGCTTCGCAGCCTTATTCAGTTCGGTTTCGCAGCAAAGAGATACCACAGACATCCGCAGACTGTATGTAGTAGCCGCATCCGGCGGGGCTCAGTACAGGCAGCAGCCTCTGGTTTGGGCCAAGAGGTTGCAGAAGCTCATATCTAATCAATCAAAACACTCCTTACAACTGTAAGGAGCCCGGAGATCTGCAGGAGGATTGAGACACCTTGACAAAGACCCAGCACCTACTACTTCGTAAAAGAAGAAACTGCCTCCGCACGATGCAAGAGAAGCATTCAGTTCGGTTCAAAGGTAGTAGTCAGACTTTGCTCCCAGGGTTTGGCATTCCACCTACTACTAGTTCCCCAGCTCTAGTGGAAGCTGCTGTCGCCACTGCTGTGGCTGCTGCTGCTGCTTCTGCTGACTGCCATTGCTACTGCTACTGCTACTTCTACTGCTACTGCTACTGCTGCTGCTGCTACTACTGCTGTTCCTGCTCCTGCTCCTGCTCCTACTCCCACTCCCACTCCTACTACTACTACTACTACTACTACTACTACTACTGCTACTGCTACTACTACTACTGCCACCACTACTACTACCACCACTACTACTACTAACTACAACTACAACTACAACTACAACTACAACAACTACTACTACTACTACTACTACCACCACTACTACTACCACCACTACTACTAACTACAACTACAACTACAACTACAACTACAACTACTACTACTACTACTACTACTACTACTATCACTACTACTACGACTAGGACTACGACTACGACTACGTCTGCTACTACTACTACTTCTTCTTCTTCTGCTACTACTACTACTACTACTGCTACTACTACTACTACTACTAGAAGCAGCAGCAGCAGTATTGTGATGATTATAATGATCATTCGCATTTGATTTTGGAGGTTTCGGCCCTCACT